CGATAACTTTCTTCCAAAACACTCCAGGTGCAAGAGGCAGGCTACAGTCTGGGATAATGTCGCCCGTATCCAAGGCTGAGTTGAAGGAACCGGATCTGATGCAAAAACGCCCCAGGAGAGACTACAAGGAAAAGAACAGGCCTATGTCTCTGGACTTATAGGGTGAGGGATGTCGTGATTGTAATGAGATCAGCCAGCTGAACCTCATAGAATATGAGTTCCCTGATTGGGTCTGTTAGCCTGGTCCAATCAGGGAGGCCAGGCTGACAGATATAAACAGGAGTGTCAGAGGTGCTGTTCACTCTGAGACCTGGCTCTGAGGATGTCTGATTAGTGTCAAGTACTATGCACATGTAAATAAAGGATGACTTGGTGACAGGATACCAGCCTCTGTGGAGTTTTTTCAGATTGAGTCTTCTACATAGATTCTAGCTCCTCCTCCTTCTGCACACCAATTATCCTAACGCTGCCTGTATTCCATCAAGCTGGAATGCAATAGGGACTGCAACTGTAGTCCAGATAATTAAGCAAACTTTCTCTTAACATGTCAGTGAAATCTTCTAACCACCTTGTCACAATGCAGAACCACTCTCATAAAGCCAAGAAGTTTTCAAATCTCTTTGAAATGCATAAGCACAATTCTCCACGAACGCCACACCAGCATAGTCAGTCAAAAGCAGCTCACTTGGAAAGTAGATGATTATTCCTTTAAACAGTACTAGATGCTACGGTATTGTTTTCAAGACATGTTTAGTTGGAAGTGATTAAGAGAAAGTATTAATTGGACCCGAACAGTCCAAAATGACAACTTGTTTATCAAATCAGCATTTAAAGGCAGTTTGATGTCACAATGCACCATCCTTTTAGAATTAGCATGGCATGCTTGCAAAAGTGGTCTGTCATGCAAGGATGAAGTATAGGCTGCATAGAAGTGGCTGGAAATATTTCAGCAATATTTTGTTTGACTTTATAGCTTTCATAGCGCCAACACCAACAGCTGAATTTAACAATCAGCAAACATTGATCCACTCTACTTGATTGGACATCATTTAAGAATCAAAAGGAAAAATTGAGCCCTTATGCATGGGAATCTTGTTTGGGATCCTTCCTTGATCTTGAATAGAAATGGGCAGAGGACTTGGGGTCAAGGGACCAATACAAACCAGTAAAATGGACAGTAGTAAGATGGACTACTTCATCCCTACAGGTTATAAGACATTTCCTCCTCCTCTGGATCTCCTCTACCAGGACCTCCAATTGCATGTCATCCCTTTTCAGTTGGTCCCTCAGCCATCCTAAAACATATTGTTGTATGTCAGGCAGCACACTCCTCATATTCATTAAAAATGGGTGCATGGAAACTATATAGACTACTCCATGAAATTGCTTCTAATCAGCTCTTGAGTGCTAAATCTGCAGGTGTCTGTTTTAGCAGCTCCAGGCAAGTGAAAATCATGCTAATCAGCAATTAGCCCCAAACTGTACGCTAAAATCAGACATTTAAACTGGAGTTTCTTACAAGCACAGCACCCACCCACTTAGAGGCTGTTTTCACCCTTACACCAAAATAAACATCATATATTCAACAACTTGTATTTATATAGCACCTTTAATGCAGCAAAACATCCCAAGATGCTTCACAAGAATATTAGCAAATAAAAATTGATTCTGATCCAAACAAAGGGATATTAAGACAAATAACCAAAAGCGTAACAAAATAGGTGTATTTTAGCGAGCAACTAAAGGAAAGATAGAGAAGCTGGAGGCTGCCAACTATGGGCTGACTAAAATTGGAGATGTGCAAGAAATAGACTGGAGTGGCGCAGACATCTTAGATGATATACAACCAGAAGGAATTACAGAAATAAGAGCAGCAAGGCCTTGGAGGGATTTGAAAATAAGGATGACAATTGCTCAACAAGGAGCCAATATAGGTCAGTGCGCACAGGAGTGATGGGTGAATGACATGTGGATCACATTATTGTACAGACAGCGGAGTTTTAATGATCTTAAATTTATACGGGTAGAAGAACAATTGAGCAGCACTAGGCCATTTAGCCCTTTGAGCCTGCTACACTATTCAATAAGATCATGGCTGATCTGGTTGTGGTCTCAGTTCCAGTTTTTTTGCCTGTCTATCAAAACCCTCGACTTTCAAAAATTTATCGAACTTAATTGTGAACACATTTAAAGACCCAGCCTCCTTTAACCTCTAGGGAAGAGAACTCCACATTTTAATGATCAGCCAAGAGAAAAGATTTCTCCTCATCCCCTAAAAAGATGGCCCCATTTTCTTAAAGTAGATACCCTACTTTTAACCTCGTCCCAAAAGAGAAAGCATCTTCCTGGTGTGCATTCTATTAAGTCCCCTCAAGATCTTATAAGTTTCAATAAGATCACCTCTCATTCTTCTAAACTTCAAGGGATAAAAGCCCAACTTGTTCATCCCCTATCCATAAGATAAGTCAAGTCAACCTTTTCTGAACCTCTTCCAGAACATTTATTCTTTTCAAATATCAAGATCAAAACTGTACACAGTACTCTAAATGTAGTCTCGCCAATGCCTTACACAGAAAAAAATTCCCAATTCTTAAATTCCTTTCCACTTGCAATAAACAACATTTCATTCACTGTGCTAACCTTTTACTGTACCTGCATATTAACACTGTGATTCATGTACCAGGAACCCTAGATCCCTCTGTGCCACCAAGTCTTGTAGTCTCTCTATATTTAAATATCATACTGCTTTTCTATTCCTCCTGCAAAAATTGATAAATTTACATTAACCCACATTATACTCCATCATGCAATCGACACTTCCACCCTACCCCCCATTCATTTATGTCCAAATCTCCTTGCAGATTCTTTACCTCCTCAAAACTGACCAGAAATGGAAGAATTCAGCAGCAGATAATCTGAGACAGAGACAATATCAGGTAGGTGGAAGTCACAGAAACGGCACAGTTACGTGGTTGAACGTTTATCTCTAATTCAAAAATGGCATCAAGGTTGCAAACAGTCCTTTCAACAAAGTGAGGCAATATGTATTACTACATGAACTGGTTTTACAATTGGTAAATTATAGAATCCACAAATTAATGTGAATGTACTTGTACAAGTTTCTTGTTTTTACACTTATTTGCCATTGCTGACCTCAGCAAAGTGGGTTGGACCAGGCTATGCAGTACCACTGAACTGTTCAAAGTCACAACCGACAATTTAAGATTTCCAACATTACAGTGACGCATCTCTTCTTGTATATTTAAATAAGAGTTGAGAAAAGATATCTGATTTATTTAAGAATCATTCCAAATAGTTGCTGTTCAAACAATGAGGCATGTCACATTTCCCAGGTACTAACCTATTTTTTAACGGATTATAAGTTATAGAATCATATAGTGCAGAAGAGGTCCTCCGGCCCATTGGCCCAACGCACCTGCACCAATCTATCTAAACTAATCCCACGTTCCAGCATTTGATTCACAGCCTTGAATGTTATGACATTTCATGGGCTTATCTACATACTTTTCTTTCCCTTACTGCCCTTCCACGCAGTGCTTTCTAGATTCTCGCCATCCTCTGAGTGAAAAAGGTTTTGCTCAAATCCCCTCTGAATCTCTTGTCTTTCACGTTATAGACTTCCATCAAACATTTCCCAACAAATATCATGAACCAGTCTCTGAAGTTATTTGGAAAACTTTGGCCAAACTCCTTATTACTAATTTCCAGATTCCATTTTATCTTTAATCTTAACGCCTTCCTGTTGTGATTTCACTTTTTTTTCTCTCGTTGACTGTCTACCTTCCTCTCTTCTCTCTTCCTCCCTATCTCAATGTCAATCTAATTCTATCTGTTCATCTGTCTGTCTCTGTTCCCTCTCACAATTCTATTCAATTTAAAGGCAATAGGCCAAAACCTTAAGTTTTCAGGAAACCAGATCACTCTACTCATTATCACTAATTATTACCTGCCATCCTAACAACCTCACATACCAACTGAACATTTCAATGGATGTCCTTGTTTCAATCTTATTAACTCTAGGGACATTGCAGAAATCAATCTATGGAAACGTTTTGTTGTAATTGAGTCTACTGATTTACATTTTTTGAAGAAACGATGGACTTGCATTTCTATAGCACCTTTGAACAGCCTTAGGAGGACCAAACCTCTCCATAAACGGTGCACCAATGGCCACATAGAAAGCTACCGTGCAGGCCAGTCACAAATAGTTCCCTTAAGGTGCTGCATATGTATAACTGCATTAAAAAGTTTAAAGGTATTGCATATTCAAATGAACCGAAAAGAAGTTAGAACGTTTTGCTCAGGACATCCCCAAGGCTTTACAGGTAATTATGCATTTTTGGAGTCGAGGTACTGCTGTAAAGGGTGACAGCAACCAATCTGCACTTTTCAAGTTTGGGAAACAACAAATTGATAATGATCTTATAATGCGCTTTTGTTATGTTGATTTTCAGGGACATTGGGAATAACTATCCCTTTCTTCTCTTAAAAATTGCTATGGGATCTTTTACATGTACCTTCGGAGACTGGTTTGAAGTCCCTTCCAAAAGACGGCATTCCCAATAATGCCGTGGTTCCTCAAAAATGCACTGAAGGGTCAGCTAGATTTTATCATCATAATAAATAACTTCCTGAACCGTAGGCAAGAGTGGATGAAATCATTTAAATGTCATTCAGTTTTCTTCCAGATCTACATAAAAATGACTATCTTGAAATTGTTGCATTTCCCTGCAATCTCCGAGTATGATTTTACCATAAATAAAACAGGACCATATTTGACTGTTAAGCTTTCCAATAAAGAAAATTTATAAAGGAATTTCTCTCCATCCTGCCTCTGTTCCTTATCTTAACGGAGTGACGAAAGATACTTGACATTATTATGAATGACAACCCTTGGCGATATGACGTCAGCATGAAAAGGATAAAAGTCTCCGAAGCCGACAGAGAAGACAATTCCAAAGATCGAGCGAAGGAGAAAAGAACGAAAGAGAAAACACGGGAAATCCATCGGACAGTACAAAGATGAGCCCAAACACAGTTTACTACTGGGGACTCCTGGTACTCTTCCTTATCCAAGTTCAAGCCAGACCCAGACCACAGAACAGTCTCCAGGTAAGAAGAAACACTCCTGCTTCACTATAGGCTGTAATAATCGCTTTCCTTAGCGTTCAACCTTGAGCTAAATTAAATGGACAGTGTACCAATTGTTCATTGGCAATCCACTAACCAGGTCTGCGTGTTTCTATGAAATATCTTTAAAATTTGCCACAAGAGATTTCTTCAACTGTGGTACACTGGTATGGTGTAGTGATAATAACACCGCATAGTAATCGGTCAGTTTAGTACTTGACGTAGTTTGCATTGTACACGGATTGGCACTGATCAGCACAAGAGCTGACAAAAACACGAAAGCAACGTAACACCCAAACCAATGTGAGAAAGTTGCCAGTTACTTATTCGGTGTTGTCAATATTCAACGCAAAACTGCTTGTATAACCTTACGTGTAGGAGAACACACTTATCACGTGTTTGGTGGTCTCCTTCAAAATAACTGAATTAAAAACGTTCGTAATATAACCGTGGATCTCTCGATGCCACTAATTATTCAATATCCTATCACGTCAGAGATGCTGATCAATCGTTTTCAGTGAAAACAAAACCACGACCAGAATTTGACCTACAATCATTATCCATCCTCAACATATTAGTGAATACTACATGCTGCACGAGTTCAACTACTTCAGCCTCCTTGTGAATCCATCACTAGCTTCAGCAGTCTCTAGAATCCCTTTCCCTACAGTCTGTTAACAGAACCAGATTCCTACACTGGTGCATTCATTGAATGCACCAAGATCACCTGTTCTTTTTCAAGAGTTCGCTTTTTTTGGTCATCGCTAAGTGGGATTACGGTCTGTTTGAAACTAAAGTTTTCGTAGACGGTCATCTTTAAGCCCCATGCCGCGATACCTCATGCGTGTTATGTATTTGTGTGAGACATACTCAAAGACCAACCACGCAATGAGCAAATAAGACTCAACTTGATCATCAACTGATAACAATACCCATTTCATGGTGATTTTCAACCGAATTTGAATATATTATTGTTTGTGATAATTTCTAAATGTAATGCTCCCAGGAATCATGAATTTACAATGAATCGATCAAAAGGTCATAATCAACACATATGTGTCATTTCAATTCTGCATTCCATCTCAACGTAAAATATTCCTAAATTATACTTGTGTTCCTTAAAGAAATACTTCGAAGGATTATAAATTTAACCCTCTCCCGCGCCTTTCATTTGCAGACTTTGTCCAAGCTGTTGCAGAGACAGGTTGAGCACTATCTGTTACAAGAAGATTTAGAGGACAGAGCAGACGAGACATCTCCGGTTGGCATCTCATTCGACCTGCAAAATGGCCAGCGTAGCTGGAACCAGAACTTGCAGGACCACGGAAACCAATACAGAGTTCCTGATGGTTCCCTTATACAACTCCTCAGTGACATTGCCAACAGTCCCTTGAGATTAAAGACTAGAAGCAAGAAGGGGTCAACAGGAGGATGTTTTGGAGTGAAATTGGATAGAATTGGTGCAATGAGTGACTTGGGATGCTGACCATTTAACTGGAGGTAAGAGATTTCTAGCTAGACAGTAACACCGACTGATGTCTGCCACAGTGATATTTTGGAAACTCCATTTTCATCAACAATTTTCACTGAAGGATATAAATTGCAGCTATAAAACACTACTTGGGTCGACATCATTACAGGCTTACCAAAAAGACTTGGACATATTCATCACATGCAAATTAAAATTAGCTGGGCAGTTTATCAATAGAGCCTCATACATTGAACAGAGCGGTACCACGGCAGGAATAACGTAGAAATAGTGTTTCTGTTTTGTTTTCAGGGACTCAGGCTATATCTAGATTTCCAATGATCTGCAAATCAGGGAAGTCAGCAATTAATGGATTATCTTCCACCATATTTACTTACAACTTAACTGATATATTAAAAAATGCGGAGCATAACGTTTGTCGACTGAATTTAGTTGTTGTCAAAGACTCTAAATTATCACATGAAAATTATTAAACCGAATTAATTTTAAAAAGGACGTTTCAATAAAGATTTCTATTTTGTGTATTAGAATCAAATCATTCCGTAACTGGGTTTCAAGTTTGAATGTTCAAACGATCCTTTGATTACTTCTGAAAAGCTGTCTATACAAATCAGTTCCTACTATCTCTATACACAAATCAAAGTCATTTTCTCCTTTCTTTCCCCCAGGGCTTCGCTGACAGTGCCGGACAGCAAGGACAACCTAACTATGGCTCTATCCACGTTTCAAAGTTTGCTTCAATTAAAGCTGTTTCGACTTGTGTTCCACAAAGTCCAAGCGTTGAATTCTAGTGATTCACTGTAGAATGTTTACAAGTTCATTTACTAGTAACCGTACTTAATAGGATGATGTAAACGCTATCAATTTTATAATTACTGGATGAAAAGGTATTTATATTAATTTAAGAGAAACATTTATTTATAAACTTTTGTCTCTTTTCCGTATTCATGTATTTGCTGTGATGCGAATGACTGTACAATTTATCTGGGAATGTTAAATAGGTTCTTTGTTTGAAATACTACTGGAAATATATTATTTTATACTCTTCTACCGCTGATGAAATTTGTTTCACAATAGCCTCAGAACTGTAAAATAAGTAATATATTTTATCCCCTTTTAGTATCGCTTTATTTAGTGGTATATTAAAGACACTGAAAAGCTCCCTTGTTTGGCGAAGGTGGTGCGTTAAAGAGCAATGGTACGCCTCCATGTCATCCATTGCTGAGCGGGTATGTAATAGAAACACAAAGCATTGTAAATCGCAGAATTAGACAACCTATCGTTCGCATCAACGTTCATGTTAGAAGTGATAATGTACTCATTCCAGAGTAGTGAGATTTTTGTTGTTTTAACATTCCTCATTACTAGAGTCAAATAAAACGAAATTGCAGCATGAGATATGAATGATCCTTTAATCCAACATTGCTTCAATCACCAATGGCGTTCTTTTGTGTACGGTAATAATGAGAAAAGAGAGCTGAATTGTTCAGCCCCAAGGACCGGGGTGCCGGAGACCGTAAACAGCCCCTTTTGGCAACATTGGAAGCAGAATGCTCCTCATGTACTCCAACTCTCGAAATGTGTATCTACATCGGATATTAGCAAAAAACGAAGTATGCAGCACGTTCCCACACTGTGGGAGTCCAACAGAAAAAGGTAGTGTTGGTTCATAGCAAGACAGCGAGTATTTTTTTTAATGTAGGGAGGCAGGCGCGCAGCAGCTACCAAGCTATTGTGGTTGACCAGGAAACTCCCTCGTTCTATTCGGCAGAGGCATATCGGGAAGATCTACACCCTCGACAATCCACCGCATTATTATACACCTTCCCGTGCTGGGACTGGAGTGCGAGCTGATGAGCCAGAGGTAGGGCCTACCAGTCTGCCACGAGACCTCGTTAGTCGGCTGCTCATTGTCACTTAGACTCTTACTTTACTGCATTATTAGAAAGGTGGAAAATAACTTTTCGCAGTCACCAAATTATTTTTTTCTTTCACACATAAATGATTAGGGTTAGGATTAGTAGGGAAAGAAAACGGGTATCAACTAAATTGGGTGCCAATAAAGGTATGTTTCGTAACTTGGAGCATTATCGTTGATGTAATTTATGATCTCGGCCCCATCCGCTCGAAAAAAAATGTCCACACTATGAAAACTTAAGGGCTGATAGCATTGATCTAGAATTTTGTGTCCAGTCAGATCTGCAAACACAATGTAGTCCCTACCTTACTCCAGCTTCAAATGTTCCTGATAGCCATTCAAAATACCAAAGAAATAGCGTCTGCAATGCCTGATGTTCGAAATTTTGGTGCTCTTCTGAAATTAATTGAAACTCCCTGGGAAGGCCCAACGTTCAGCCTTAGCACTATAGGAGGGCTTTCTTCATGCGAGCTGGTGAGCAGGACCTAAGCCAGGAAACAGTATGACTCAGGGGTGTTACCAACTGGGCCAAACTAATAACCATAAAGGCCATCCACTACACAGAATTGAATATGTAAGAGTGGACACCATTAAGGCAGATATTTAATGGAAAGGCATCTATGTCAATTTGAACACCAATTTCTCACCAATTAAACCTGCCTTTTAATGTGAAAATAACCCAACAATGTGAACAAACTGGTTAGTAACTTGGAAACATCGAAAATAGGAGTAGCAGTAGACCAAACGGCCCATCAAGCCTGCTGTACCATTCAATTTGATCATGGCTGATCCTTAATCACAATGCTATTCTCAAGTGCTCTCCCCATACTCCTTGACACCAATATGTCTAGAAATATACCTGTTTCTTTCTTAAATATATTCAGTGACTTTGTTTCCACAGCTTTATGTGATGGAGCATTCCACAGGTTCACTACTCTGAGTGAAGAGATGTCTCTTCATAAATGGCCTACCCCATAGCCTGAGACCTTTGTGCTAAACCATCCAGCCAGAAGAAATATCATCCCTGCATTAAGCCCTTCCAGCCTGTCAGAATTATATACCTAAGAATTAAATCTCCTCTTATTTTTCTAAACTCCAATTAATGCAGGCTTAGACAATCCAGTCTTGCCTCATACTACAATCCTGCTATCCCATGAATCAGTCTGGTGACCTTCACTCCACTCACCCTATGGGAAATGTATCCTTTCTTGAGTAAGGAGACCAAAACTGTACAGAATACACCAGGTGTGGTCTCACCAGTGCAGTAAGACATCCTTGCTGTTTTACTCAAATCCTCTTGCAATGAAGACCAACATGCCATTTGGCTTCCTAACTGTTAACTGCACTTACATGCTTGGTTTCAGTGACTGATATACAAAGACACTCAGGTCCCTTTCTATATCAACATTTTCCAATTTGACACATTTTAAATAATACTGTAATTCTACTTTTCCTACCAAAGTGGATTACTTCATACTTATCCACATTCTATTTCACCTACCATGTATTCACCCACTCACTCAACTTGTTTAAATTGCCTTGAAGCCTTTTAAATCCTTCTCACCACCCACGATCCTATCTTATTCTGTGTTGCCAAGCAAACTTGAAAGTATAACAGCTGATTCTCTCATCCAAACCATTGATATATAATGCGAATAGCTGGGGCCCAAACACTTATCCCTGCAGAATCCCACTAGTCACCATCTTCCACTCTGCAAAAACTTTGTTATTATTACTCTGTTTCCAGTCTGCTGCCCAATTATCAACTCCTGTGATTTAATTTTGCACATTCATCTAATTTTTTTATTCACTTGTGAACATGGGTATAACTGGCTGCACCAGAAATTATTGCCCTTTCCTAGTTGATAAGGTTATTGCGAACTGCCTTCTTGAATTGCTGCAGTTCGCGTGCTGTAGATAGACCCACAATGCCATGAGGGAGGGAATTCCAGGATTTTGACCCAATGTTACTGAAGGAACAGTGATCTATTTCCAAGTATCTGTATGGGAACACAGCGCTGTTAACATTATTACACTCTTATGTGGGACTTTATCAAAATCTAAATACACCATATCCACTGATTCTCCCTTACCTATTTAAATAATTGTGGCCTCAAATAGCTCAAGTAGGTTTGTCAAACATGACATCCTTTTCTTTGGCTAATCCTATTAATATTTTCTAAGTGTCCTATTATCAAATCCTTTATAATAAACTCTACAATGTTCCCTATTACTGACATTACTCTAATAGGTCTGGCTTCTCCCTCCCTCTCTTATTAAATAGTATAGTTACATTTCTACCCTTTACTCTACTGAGAAAGCACAAGAATCTACAATTTCTTCAAGTCCTCTTTGGACACACGAAAGGTGCCAGAAGACTGGAGTATAGTTAATATGCTGAGACTGTAATGCCTTATGCTAAACCCTACAGGGAACTATAGGCCAGTGAGTCTAATATCAGTGGTTAGGGAAACTATTGCATAAAATTCTGACAGAATGAACTACCAATTGAAGAGGTAAAGATTAATCAAGATAGCATGGTTTTGTCCAGGGATCATGTCTCATGGGTTTGATTGAATTTCTCATGATGTGACTAGATGCATGGATAAGCATAGTGCAATGGGTGTAGTCTAAATTGACTGCAATAAGGCTTTTGATAAGATCTTGCATGGAAGACTGATCAAGAAGGTAAAAGCTCATGGGATCCTGGGCAATTTGGTAAATTGGATTCAAAAGTGACTTGATGGCAGGAGGCAGAGGGTAAAAGTCAAGGGTTTTTTTTTGACTGGAATTGTGTATGCCATGGCAGGGTTTGGTGCTAGGTCTCTTGCTGTTTGTAGTGCACATTAATGATATAGATATTAATGTAGGAGATTCAATCAGTAAATTCACAGATTACATGAAAATTGGTAGTGTGACTAATAGCGAGGAAGGAAGCTTTAGGTTACAGGATGATACAGATGGGTTGGTCAGATGGACAGAACAATGGAAGATGGAACTTAGTTCTTACAAGTGTAAGCTGATACAATTTGAGAGGATTAACAGGACAAGGAAGTACATGATGAATGGTAAGACCTACGAAGTGTAGAGGATCAATGGGACCTTGGTGTGCATGATCATAGATCCTTGAAGGCAACAGGTCAGGTGGAGAAGGTGATTAAGAAGGCAAATGGGATACATGCCTTTATTAGTTGAGGCATTGAATACAAAAGCAGGGAAGTTGATATGGCTGTTTAAATGTCTAAACTTGAGTACTGTGTGCAGTTCTGGTTGCCACACGATAGGATTTGTTTGCTCTACAGAAAGTTCAGAGGAGATCCACCATAGTGCTACTGGGGCTGGAGCATATCAGCTTTGAAGAGAGACCAGATAGTTGGGGTTGTTTTCCTTTGAGCAGAGAAGGTTGAGGGGGAACTAATTGAAATGCATACAATTATTAGGGGTATACATAGGGTAGATAGAAATAAACCTTTTCCCTTAGCAGATCAATAACCAGCGAGTAGAGATTTAAGGGAAACATGGAAACAGAGAGAGAATAGGAATAGGAGTCGACCATTCAGCCCTTTGAGCCTGGTCCACCATTCAATATGATCAAAGCCAATCATACAACTCAGTATCCAGTTCCTACTCTCTTCCCACACACTTTGATCCCTTTAGCCAGAACAGCTATATGTAGCCCACTTGAAAATATGCTACTTTTTAGCCTCAACTACCTTGTGTGGCAGACAAGTTTGCACACTCATCACTCTGGGTGAATAAAATTCTTCTCATCTCAGTCCTAAACGACCTACTCCATATTCTTAGACTGTGATCCTCTAGTTCTCCTTGGTCATTGGAAACATCATA